CAAGAAAGACCCAGCTGCAATGAAAGCAAAATAGAGTTTCCTGTTCAGGCCCTGGTCAGAAGTTGTTCTGCTCCATTTACCTCTATCCCCCCAACTCCCCATTGCTTGCCCTTCTCTCCCCTGTGCTTTCCCTGTGCTCACACGCCACTTTTGAGATATTGGATTCCTTTTCATTCAAACCACATAAGATCAATGTGCTCTTCTCTGAGAAGGTCAGGTAAGCCAAGTCCTAGCTTGTGGGTTTCATGGCAGTCAGGTACAGACTTGCTTCCAGAGATTTTTTTTTTTTTTAGTTATTAAAATTCCTGCCAAGTTCAAGAGCTAATGATGCTTCCACATAAAGTCCTATCATATAGACGTGGTCTATTTGTGAACACATTTGCAGCAGAAATCTATAATTGTGTCTGGTTAAGTTAAAGTAGATTTCTGGGGAGACTTCCTGGAAAATTCAAATGCCCAAAATGTCATTTAGGAAAAAGTGAGTTTGAGTGTCAGATTGCCAATTTACATGGATCACCTCATTCACTTAGTCAGCAAATATTTATCATGCACCTACTATGTACCAGGCTATGCTTCAGACACCAGGGGCACTAAAATGACTAAGACACAGGCCCTGCTCTGTGTGCTGGTGACACAGGCGTGTGAGCACACACAGCTCAAGTAGGACTGCTAATGAAAATATCTTCAGCAGGCAAAGCATTAGCAATTTGTTACTGCTCCACTTAAAACTGCTCGTGCTCAAAAGCAGTTTGTCAGAGTTTTCTGTGTGGGGGTGGGGACAGTGTGCCACTGGCATCTAGGGAGCAGAGGCCACTGATGCTGCTAAATATCCTACAGTGTGGGGGACAATCCCATCCACAACAGAGGATTATCCAGCCACAAATATCAACCATGCTCAGGTTCGGAAACCCTGCACTAGAGCAAAGCAGCATCTGCACTGAGTTCAGACATTACATGCAAGTTCCTGAGCTCTGCTCTATCCTGCTGGTCTTGACAATCCCATACTGACCTCCCTCTGTTGCGTTCTGTTGTCAAGGCATACCTCAATTCTAGTGAGTGGGGGTGTTCGAAAGGCAGCTTTTTAAAGTTTATTTTTTAGGCTTAGACACCGAGATGCTTCTATCTTAGAATTTTTTCTCTGTGTCCTTTGTCTGTTGTTCTTTTCCCCAAGTCACATCTTGATGGCTTGCGTGATGAGTCAGATGGCCTTTCTGAAGCCAAGGTTATGTGCTTCTGGACAGCCCTTTGCCCCATTCTCTAAGGAGGCAGGCTTTCAGCCCCAAGGTGCTTAGAGATTGCTGATCCATTCTCTTTCTCCTTTTCCAGACCTTTTATAAAGTCTTTATTTCCGGAAAATCTGCAAGCTGACAAGAAAGGGCGCCCAACTACTGCCGGGAGCAAAATAAAGGTTAGTTTTATTTGGGGAAGTTTCTAGGAGTTGGGAATTGCACCCTCAGCCCAGGATGAGGTCGGGGGAGATGTAAGGGGATGGTTACAGGAGATGCCCAGAAGTCATCTCGCTGCTTGTGAAAAGGTTACAGGATGTAGGCTGAATTTGATTTGGCTGTTCTGAAACCCCAAGTGGATATTAAGTACCTCATAGCTTAATAGTCAGCAGATAATAATCAGCTACTTTCAAAGAGGAAATGGCTTTAAACTGAATCTGGAAAAATTTCTGTTAAAGCATCAGAGAAATTTTGTGGTTCCAAGCCCTGTCTTGGATATTGATGACAGTTTTCCAGGCCGGGCTGAAAAACTTGCCAAGTATGGAACATTACTTGCCAGAAATTCCACTTTGTCTTTTAGGGGCAATTTCTGCATCCCTCTTCGCTGGGTCTTGAAGACCCCTCCTTGCTGTGACTTGCAGGCCTTTCTGGCCA